TGGCGCGCGCTCCCAAGGCCTCTACGTTTCGCCCCCAACCGGCCGTCGCGCAATGCAAGCTACTGCGGGAAGGAATTGCCGGTTACCTAGTGCCGCAACCACCACAAAATTTTTCAAATAGATGACTCCCTCTCCAACGTCATCTCATCCAACGTCATTTTCATGTGTTAACTCAATCCTCCAACTTTCGTTCCGAAAGGCTCTTTGCGCAACCCCCGTTGGGTTGCCTCTCCTGTTCTTTTCTTCCCGCACTGGTCGTAATCTTCGTTCCGAAAGGCTTATGCCTTGAGGAACGAAAGGATGCCTTTGAGGAACGAAAGGCTTCTTCTTACCCTGCGAGACCACTCTTTTGCCTTTCGGAACGAAAGGACTTAAGGGTTCCTCCCCGGGGAAAAAAAAATTCGCCATCAATTTCCCCCCGCCATTCCGGCCCCCTGATTGGTCGGCGCTTTTGAGCTCTTTTCATTCGTCGGCGTTCTCGCCCCCGATTGGCCATATGGCCATAACTTACCCCTTCCTACGTCCTTCCTCCCCCTCCTTTTTCTGCCTCCCCCCCTCTGCGTTTTGGGCCCTTTGAATCGTACTCCTGATTGGAGGCTCTTGTGCTTGGTCTTTTCGCGCTCTTTAAAGCCCCCCCTTCTATATTGGCCCGTCTTTGTCTAGATCTATGCCTTCCTATTCTACCCAGTGGTATATGTGTGTACGCTTGCCTTTTCTAGTCTAGCTGTTGTTGCCCTTGTTATCCCTACTTCTATCCTTCTTCTCATCTTCTTCTCGGTGATGATGAAGTAAGACGCTTTGGTGGCGAGTTTGCTAAGATATGTCTTCCTCTCCCCTGAATAAATATCGTGATGGTCCTAATCCCGCCTACCTTAGCTGCGGAGTAGGCTACCTGCTTCCTGTGTTGTCTGCTTGCTTAGCTCCTCTAGCCGGGCCTGCGCCGCTGTCATTTCCCCGGGCACCCGGTTCCTATAAGGTCCCGCTCCCGCACCTCCGATACGAGCATGATGCCGTCGAGCGTCGGGCACCGCGAGAGCTGCACGTAGAGGCTGTACGGGTCGCACGGCGACGCCACCGCCCTGCCCTCGACCGTCGTCGTCCTCGCCCCCCGCAGCTCGAGCGCGACGCGCTCGATCGTCCCGCCCTGCACCTTGTAGTCGGTGCAGGCGAAGGCCGCGGCGCACGGCAGGCCGCGCCGGCCGACGTCGTTGCGCTGCCAGGGCCGCTTCCGCTGCGCCGTGATCTTGACGGTGATGGGCGTCAGCAGGATCGTCCCGGACGGCATCCCGACGAAGTGGAGGTCCCTGGTCGTCTCCGACGCCAGCACGATGCCCGCCGGCGGCCCGAAGTGCACCGTCAGCTCCGCCGAGACGCGGTGGCCAGCTGTCGTCGCCCTGGCCGAGCATCAGCACCGCCTCCTCCTCCGTCGGCGTGCCGTCCTTCCACTTGTGCTCGGAGAGGAAGACGCGCGCCGCCGTCCGCTGCCGCGCCCGGAACGCGAGCGCCGCCTCGAGGTTGAGGTTCCAGCGGTTCCGGTTGAGCGGCGTGACCACCGTCACGCCTGTCTCCCACGGGATCCGCCTGCCGGGCCGGTGGCACCTCGAGTTGAGCAGCTCGAGGTCCGACCGGTCCTGCTCGCCCCGCCGGATCCGCCCGAGCAGGCGCCGCAGCTCGGGGTCGCCGGCGGCCCGCATCTGCTCGTCGAGCATGGTGACCGTCGTGAACCGCCGCCAGAGCGCGTGCGCCTTGTCGTGCTGCCGCCGCTGCTCGGCCGTGAAGGCCCTGTCCTCGTCCCACGACACCGCCGCGCTCGGCAGCAGGATCGACCGCTCCTGCACCGGCCGGAACTGGTGGAAGTCGCCGCAGAAGATCACCACCGGGATGCCGCCGAAGTCCCGCGCCGACCCCCGCAGCCGGCAGAGCTGCTCGTTGGCGGCGTATAGCGTGCGCGCCCCGAGCATGCTGACCTCGTCGACCACCAGCACCTCCTTCTCCCGCCAGTCCATGCGCGACCGGCCGTCGACGAAGCGCTCGCCCGCGCCCGGCAGCCGCACGCCGTCCACCCCCTTGGTCGCCCCTCCCGCCTGGCCGCCCTGGCCGACGGCGAGGCCGCAGGCCGAGTGGAGGGTGATGCCGTTGATCCGCGCTGCCGCCGTGCCCGACGTCGCTGTGACTAGCATCCGGCTCGACAGCTCCTCCGGGCGAGCAGCTCGACGAGCGCCTCGATGACGCGCGACTTGCCGGTGCCGCCCTCGCCGCCGATGAACAGGCAGAGCTGACCTTCCCCGTCTCCGTCGCCGCCTGCCTCATTGGCCTGCCGGACCTGGTCGAGCTGCCGGCAGACGATGAGGAGGGCGATCGACTGCTTCTCGTTCAGCGTCAGCTCCTTGGCCAGCTCCCGGCCGGCGGCGAGGAACGAGCTCGACGGGCCGAGCCGCACGCGCATCCCCGCCGCCGTGCCTACGTCTGGGTCGCCGTCGGCCGCCGTCACGTCCATGTCATCCTCGCCGAATCCCCCCATGACCCCGCGGAGGGCCGCGCCGCGGTCCGCCCCGACTCCTGCCGCCGCCCCGCCGCCTTGGGAGCCCTGGATGCCCTGTATGGCCCGCTCCCGCTCCCGCGCGGCGCTCCTCTGCTGCGACTTAATAGCCCGCACCTCCTCCTGCCGCGGCAGCGCCGCCCCCGAGAGCGCCGAGCCCGGTAGGTTTACTCGCCTCCCACGCCATCTCCCTTAGCTCCTCCCGGCCCGCTTGCGGTAGCAGAGACTGCATGTTGCGGTCGGTAGCGCGCTGGTGTTGTGGAACGCCCGGTAGAACCTCCGTACCGTCCTGACCTCCCTTTCGCGCGGCACCGGCGCGCACCACGCCCGCTCCTCGGCCAGCCTCTCGCCCGCCTCGAACTCCTCTTCGAGGCCCCGCAGCACGTCCGCCAGGTCTTCGGCCTGCATCTCCCTTGGCCTTGGCCTCCTCTGGTCGCCGCGGCTCCGTTTTGCCTCGGTCTGTCCGCTGGCGGCACTGCCCTTGTCACGGCCAGAACTAAGCCTTGACGGCTATCCTTGTATTGGCTCTATGGACGAAGTTTCTAGCTTAAGGGGTCCAAGAGAAAGAAAGAAGAGAAGCCCCGTAGGCAGAGATTTATATACAGCCTTGGGGTGTGGTCCGTGCACGGGCACGTGCACCCGTTGTTAGTTCTGTCTCGTCGTTACACCTTCCTCTTCTGTCTCTCTCGACGTGGCGGGCCTCTCGTCATCCCATCTATACCCTATTAGACGTCTCTATGCACACCCCTTGGCCCCGTTTAGGATCCCTACCTGCGCGTCGGCCTTCTATTGCTTCGCCAGGCTCTGCGGCCTTAGCCATGTCCCCTGTGGCGCTCTCTATCGCGGCTACTGGCCGAGGCAGGATATCCCGAGGCGCCTGTTGACTTGCCGTGGGGCCTAGGGACGGCCCGGCCATGCTTGACGCGCGGCCGCCATGTCTTGCCTCGATTTCTTTGCCGACCGGGCTGCGCTTTCTCTTCTGTCTCTGTCGAGGGGGCGCGGCCCATCGTCGTCTCATCTACATCACGTTAACCACCTCTGTCCGTCGACCGACCCTGGGGGCCTGCTTGGGAACTATACCGGCGAGTTGGCTTTTCATTTCTGCACTGGGCTGTGCGCCCTCGGCGGCGTCCCCGATGGCACCCCCTGGCCCCCTCCCCGGCCGGGGCTGTATCCTCTGAGGCCGTCTTTGACGTGCCGCCGGACCTGGGGCTGGGCCCGCCGCGCTCCACGGCTGTGTCGCCAGAGCCGCCCCGATGTCGGCCGCGGCTGGATATCCCGGAATAGCGGCTGCTGGCTTATGTCGATCTGCTGCCTTGGCCGCCCCGGCCTCCTTCCCGCCCCGCGGCGCTTCGGCCGGAGCTTGGCGGCGTGAGAAGGAAACCACCTCGCCTTCGCCGGCTTCTCTACGTTTCGCCTCCCGCCTCGTCTCCGGTGTCGACGGCGCCGTCTTCCTTCCATCGCCCCTGGTCGCTTGTGCCTGGGGCGTCCTTCCGCCGTGGCCCTGGTCGTGCCTGCCTCCCCGCGCCGGTCCTCCCTGATTCCTCGCCGGCCGGCCGCCCCGCCGCCTTCGCTTCGGCAGCACCAGCCCTGACGCCCTCTCATGCGCCCCCTGCCGGCCCTCCGTACCGGGCACCGGCGCCGCCGAGATCGGCCTGAACCTCATTGCTGTGTATGGTCCTCTGGCTGCCTCCCGTGCTGGGCCTACGCCGCTCTCCGCCCCGTGCTGCCATTCGATGCTGGCTGGCTTCATCGTAATGGGTGCTGCCCTCTATTGCGTCTGCTCTCTTGGCCTTACCTACTTACTATGCTACTACCTCCTTAGGCAAACATTCTTCATATATATGCCGCTGACGTATAGCCCCCTCTCTTCGCCATGCTCCCGCGCGGCGCATAACATGTGCTTCTTAATCACATATCCATATTCCCTCTACCTCCCGACTTGGCATGTCCTTACGTATGCTACTTACCTACTATTATGCGCGCGCTAGCTGTCTATGGTCCCTACTGACTGACGCCTGCTGCACTACCCCGCGGCCGATATGGCCTCGGCTATTCCCTAGATGTAGGTCCTACCAATGGCTTCTCGTCCCTTATCTATTCCTTCTGCCTCTCTTATGTTTGCTCTTTTCTCTTCCCCTCCGGTCGTAATCTTCGTTCCGAAAGGCTTATTGCGCAACCCGTGCGGGGTTGCCTTACCTGTCCAAAAATTTCCAACCCACTTTCCGGCCCTCTGATTGGTCGGCGCTTTTTACCCCGTGTCCCTCATCTTCTCATTCGTCGCCGTTCTTACCTCTGATTCGTCGTAACTCGACCCCTCTTCCCGCTCTTTCTTCCCCTCTTTGCCCCCTTTGAAGCCTCTTCCTGATTGGCCCCCCCCTCCTCTTGGCCATCTCTTGAAGACTCCCTCTCATTGGTCTTCTTTGGGGCCGGGCTGCCTCGGCCCTCCTCGCCCGCGTCCTCACCCGCGGAGTAGGCCGGCCGCCTCTCGCGTCGTCAGCCCGCTTAGCTCCTCCAGCCGTGCCTGCGCCGCTGTCATCTCCTTCGGCACCCGGTTCCCTATGAAGTCCCGCTCCCGCACCTCCGACACGAGCGTGATGCCGTCGAGCGTCGGGCACCGCGAGAGCTGCACGTAGAGGCTGTACGGGTCGCACGGCGACGCCACCGCCCTGCCCTCGACCGTCGTCGTCCTCGCCCCCCGCAGCTCGAGCGCGACGCGCTCGATCGTCCCGCCCTGCACCTTGTAGTCGGTGCAGGCGAAGGCCGCCGCGCACGGCAGGCCCCGCCGGCTCACGTCGTTGCGCTGCCACGGCCGCTTCCGCTGCGCCGTGATCTTCACGCTGATGGGCGTCAGCAGGATCGTCCCGGCCGGCATCCCTACGAAGTGGAGGTCCCGGGTCGTCTCCGACGCCAGCACGATGCCCGCCGGCGGCCCGAAGTGCAGCGTCAGCTCCGCCGACACCCGGTGGCCGGGGAAGGCCCGGTCGGGGATCACGGCCACCGCCGTGTAGCCGGCCCCGTTCACCACCTTCAGCCCCTGGTGCGTGTTCTGGTTCACGACGACCGGCATGCCGGGCACGAAGACGAAGACGGCCGGCACCGGCGTCGCGCTGTCGTCGCCCTGGCCGAGCATCAGCACCGCCTCCTCCTCAGTCGGCTCGCCGTCCTTCCACTTGTGCTCGGAGGAAGACGCGCGCCGCCGTCCGCCGCAGCGCCCGGAACGCGAGCGCCGCCTCGAGGTTGAGGTTCCAGCGGTTGCGGTTGAGAGGCGTGACCACCGTCACGCCCGTCTCCCACGCGATCCGCCTGCCGGGCCGGTGGCACCTCGAGTTGAGCAGCTCGAGGTCCGACCGGTCCTGCTCGCCGCGGCGGATCCGCCCGAGCAGCCGCCGCAGCTCTGGGTCGCCGGCGGCCCGCATCTGCTCGTCGAGCATGACGACCGTTGTGAAGCGCCGCCACAGCGCGTGCGCCTCGTCGTGCTGCCGCCGCTGCTCGGCCGCGAACGCCCTGTCCTCGTCCCACGACACCGCCGCGCTCGGCAGCAGGATCGACCGCTCCTGCACCGGCCGGAACTGGTGGAAGTCGCCGCAGAGGATCACTACCGGGATCCCGCCGAAGTCTCGCGCCGACCCCCGCAGCCGGCGGAGCTGCTCGTTGGCCGCGTGCAGCGTCCGCGCCCCGAGCATGCTGACCTCGTCGATTACGAGTACCTCCTTCTCCCGCCAGTCCATGCGCGACCGGCCGTCGACGAAGCGCTCGCCCGCGCCCGGCAGCCGCACCGTCCAGCTCCTTGTCGCCCCTCCCGCCTGGCCGACCGTGAGGCCGCAGGCCGAGTGGAGGGTGATGCCGTTGATCCGCGCCGCAGCCGTGCCCGACGTCGCCGTCACGAGCATCCGGCTCGAGAGCTCCCTCCGGGCGAGCAGCTCGACGAGCGCCTCTATGACGCGCGACTTGCCGGTGCCGCCCTCGCCGCCGACGAATAGGCAGAGCTGGCCTTCTCCGTCGCCGCCTGCCTCGTTGGCCTGCCGGATCTGGTCGAGCTGCCGGCATACGATGAGGAGGGCAATTGACTGCTTCTCGTTCAGCGTCAGTTCCTTGGCCAGCTCCCGGCCGGCGGCGAGGAACGAGCTCGACGGGCCGAGCCGCACGCGCATCCCCGCCGCCGTGCCTACGTCTGGGTCGCCGTCGGCCGCCGTCACGTCCATGTCGTCCTCGCCGAATCCCCCCATGACCCCGCGGAGGGCCGCGCCGCGGTCCGCCCCGACGCCTGCCGCCGCCCCGCCGCCTTGTGAGCCCTGGATGCCCTGTATGGCCCGCCCGCTCCCGCGCGGCGCTCCTCTGCTGCGACTTAATAGCCCGCACCTCCTCCTGCCGCGGCAGCGCCGCCCCCGAGAGCGCCGAGCCCGGTAGGTTGACTCGCCTCACGGGCCCATCCTCCGCTACCACCGTCGCCGCGAGCTCGGCGGCTGACTCGAGCCCGGGCTGCTGGAACCGGCAGAGCTGCTGCGTCATCCCTAGCAGCTCTGTCGACTGCGCCGTCACCTGCCCCGCGGCGGCTGCATTCCGGACCACGTCGATGAGCCGGGCCGTGTCGCCCGCCCCGCCGCCGCGGTACGCCCCCCTCGCCGCCGCTCCCCGTGGCCCTACCTTCGTCTTCGGCCTGTGGCGCTGTCGACCTGTCTTCCTCGGCTGTCGCGGCCCACTGCTTGGCGTCGCGCTTCGCGTCCTCCGCTGACCGCCGGAGGAGCTGTACGTTGTCTACGAGCCGCGCGACCCTCGGGGAGAGCGACGATCGCGCCTGTGCCCAGATATCGTTGATGTCGCCGGCTCCTATGCTGACAAATGACTCCCATGGTATAAATAGGGCAAGGTGCTGCACCGCCGCCCTGGGTGCCGTTAGCCGACCTAGCCTATATGTATCCTCAAGCTGCCTTTCCTATAGGCATTTCCTACCTTATAATACGTACCTTCGGTGGCATGACTCCTCGTCTTCCTTACTGAACTCCTTGCTTAGGTACCCGTCTAGCCGCACCGTCGCCGCCTTGCCCGGTCGCCTAAGCACCTGCACCCAGCCCTTCCCTGCCGCGCAGCCCTCTGCGAGGGGTATCTCGCCCCAGCCCGCCCTGCTGTCGGCGCTGCCGCCGGCCCGCCTCAGCCTTATAAGTGACGTATAGTCGTAGAGGCAAAGCCGTTGTAGGAGCTCCCCCCTGTGACGGTAGGCCTCGACGAGGGGAATTCTCGGCCCGGCCTCCTCCACGACGACCGTCTCGTCCGGCGCGTCGCCTGTCGCCTCCGCGCCGCTTGCCCGTTGGAGATGCCTCCACCGGCGGAAGACGGCCCAGTAGAGCTGGTTCGCATTGACGTACGCCCACGCCGAGCCGCTGCTGAACTCCGCCGGATACCCTAGGAGGTGGGCTATTACCTCAACCTGCGAGAGTGGCCGCTCTGTGAAGACCCGGTTCGCTACCTTGAGTAGGAACGTCCTCGTCTTATTCCTCCCTATAGTAGGCTCTGGCCCTATCGCTACCTCCTCGTTAGCCCTGGGCCCTCTCCTCTCGCTCTTGCCCTCGCTACTACTGCCGCTGTTCTCTTCTATTAGCTCCCCCTCTAGCGTCGGGAGGAACTCGGCCGCCGCGGCCACCCGCTTCCACGCCGGGTCCTCGACCTTGGTCGCGTAGTTGGTGATGTAGTAGATCAGGGCCATAGTCTTACGCTGCGTCGCGATGAACGAGATATCGTGGTTGTGCCGCAGCCCGACCGCCATCGCCCTGTTCCACCGGTTGACCATGTTATGCGTGCGCCGGACCTCGAGCACCCCGTCCGTCGTCAGCGCCGTCCTCTCCACCAGCCTCCACGGCGCCTTGAACCGGCAGAGGTTCCCTCGCGCGCCCCGCCGCCGAGCGAGTACTTTACGCAGGTCGCGCTGTGCGTGTGGACCTGCGTCGCGCCCGCGCAGAAGTTGGCCTCCTCGTTGAAGGCGTCTGTGAAGCGCGCGACGTCGTCGAGCCGCGACGATATGTCCGCCGTCGCCGACCTCTCCGCCTGCACGGCGCAGTAGCCTTCTGCGTCTAGCTCCTGTGGCCCCGGGTTAGCCTAGAACCCCTCCTCTGTCCGTACTGAGTGGCATATATCTGGAGGGCCTCTCTAGAACCTTGTCGCTGCCTTACCTCGGAGAAGACGCTGTCTACGTAGCGGACGATTCGCTCCCGGCACGCCGCCTGCTCCTCCGTGTCGGCGCCCGCGAGCGCCTCGCCGAGGCCCCTGTTGCCCCTTAGCCAGAGGAGCCCGTGGAGGTGGAGGGCACCTGTTAGATCCGGTAGAATCCGGGTAGATGCAGCTACGATAGCGTCAGGCTACTAGTGGCAGCGCCAACGGTAGCGCAGACGATAGCGCACCAGGTAGCGCAGCCGATGAGGCCACGAGGACATCTATGAGACAGTTACAGAGATATGACGTGATGGCATGTCATAGGGATTGAGGCCATCGCCCTTTGATATAGGGCTTGGGCAGAGCACCCCCAAATGGGGGACACAGACAGACACACATCATACCTCACTTCATCCGATCGTACCATTCTTGCTGTGTCCGTGACCTATCCGACGAGAACCTCATCAAGGTTCTGACACTAACCCTTTATGCCTTCTTTTCTCTAGGACTTTAACCTATATCCGATCTTCTAATCTCCCTAACCCTACCGCGCTTCTTAATGCAGTATCGCGCTATATAGGCTTCTTTGCGATCTATATAGCTATGTATGGCTTCCCCCCCTTGCCCTATTGCTTACTAGTTGACTTACTTCCTGCTAGAGGGCTATAATGTCCCCGACGCCGCCTACCACCGACTCTCCGCCGCACCTTCGCAGGCCTCTTACAGGCAATAAGGGCGCCGGCGGCGACATGACCATGATGTTCTTTGCCCAGCCCGACTGCCCCGTGAGGTTCGCCCACCAGGACGAGCACCGCGTGAGGGGCCTCAACGCCGAGGCCATTGCCCGCGTCCTCCTTCCCGCCCCCTCGTGGCTGCTGGCGCTCGAGTACGCCTCCGGGCAGCGGGGATGATAACGATGTCTCCCCCCTCTTCTTTAGCTTGAATCTCTCAATCTACGGCCAGCCGGTCGTCGACTCGGATTGGTCTGAGCAGTGGTTCTTTATGTCCGGCCGCGTCCATCCGTACGCCCTCGCCTGGGAGGTCGAGCGCCGCGACGGTCTCGAGGCCGACGTCGGCGAGACTCTCCTCTATACGATGCCCGCCCTCGTCGTCCGCGACCAGGGCTACCAGCCGTGAGCCTCCCTCCGTCCTCTTTGCCGCCCCGCTGATCTCTTCCTAAGCGTCCTCCCGCGCTCCTTGGCACCCGACGGCCACTTCCCCTCGACGCCTCCTGTTGTCTCCTTTCACGGCGTCGTCGCCGGCTCCGGACTTGACCTCCTGCAGGCCGATCTTCTTCCTGGTCTTGGGACCGACCAGCTCCGCTGCTGCGGCCTAATCCAGCTATCGACGTACATCGCCCTGGCGTCCCGGACAAGGTTCCCTTCAAGGGCTACCACCCCTTTCAGGTCTTTGTCATCTTTCCCATCTATGCCAACCCTTGGCTCGTCCTGTGTAAGAAGCTGGCCGAGAGGTCCGCCTCTCCCTTTCTGCCTGGTATCCCGTTTACCTGCACTGGCAAGGTCGCCGGCCTTCTCGATCATGGCGTGATGTGTGTCCCGCCCGGCTCGGACCGCGATTACGTCTTCGTCGTCGTCCCGGATAGCTGGACTTTCCATGATAGGTCTTCCGCCGCTGCCGCCTCCGCTTCCCCGCTGGCCCAGCCCTGAGGCGTCAACCTCTTCCACCTCCTCTGCGTTTGACCTCGTCCGCGCCGCCTCCTACTCGCTTGCTACGCCGCCTTCGACCGCGCCGCACACGCCTTCCAAGGCTCCGGGCCCGCCTGCCGATGCGCCTGTGACGCCGCCGCCCAAGCGGGCCTGCTCGGCCGTGGCCGACTCCCCGATTAAGAGGTCGCGCACCTTGCACCAGCACCATTCGCTTCCTTCCTCCTCTTCGAGCACTGTTGGCCCCGCCGCCACTTCCTCCTCACCCCCGCAGTCCGCCTCGTCGTCAAGGCCGCCCGGGGACACGCCCGCTCATGCCCTGGCCGCCGCGCCCGGTTCCCTTCTTGACTCTATCGTCGCTAGTACTAGCGACGCGCCCATCCGGCCCCTCCGCCAACGCATGCAAAAATGAGCCTACTATCTGAATAACACTGAATCTATACTTGATATCTACTAAACTCTCCAAAATAATATACCTCTACAACCTAGTTACTATATAAGCTAGGCCTATACTCTCGCTATACTATTAATATAAGAAAAGCTACCCCTACTTATTAGTCTATATCTCACGGTACTAAGGTACCTCTACACACCACGTGTCTATAGCCACATACATATATGCCCGGCCCTCGCATACTGTCCATAGCTCTGTATCCGACAACATCGTTCTTCCTCGTTGCCTAGTCCGCCCCGTGATACTATAACTCCACTTCCCCTCTTCCCTTCCCTCCCTTCTTACCTTTACTATATATTACGAGCTAGGCCTAGACTAACTTTATGCAACTGGACCTACTTCTTGACGTAGGTATAACTCCTTTCCTTCCTCCTCTTTACCCTCTATATTCTCGTCCTTATTAGCTTATTCGTTCTAACTAGGTAGCTAGTTGTTGAACTTGCTGAACTGTTACACCCCCCATTCCTTCTGCCTCTCTGCTGCTGTTTATTCCTTTCTCTTCCCCTCTGGTCGTAATCTTCGTTCCGAAAGGCTTATTGCGCAACCCGTGCGGGGTTGCCTTACCCGTCCATATTTTTGATTCAGCCCGAAGGGCGTTCTACTCAGTCAGAAAGATTCGAGCATAAAACCTCCTCTGATTGGCTAATTGGCCTGGCCTGTGCTCAACTCGTGCGCGGATTGGTCGACCGATAACGTCACCAAATGAAGGCCCGCAAAAATTACCCCTGAGCGTTGACTAGGTAACTAGCCAGCCTGGCAAGCTCTCCAAGAGCTTTCTTTCAGTTCTTCCATTCTTCGGCACTCTTCACACTAACTAACCTACATGGCGGCTGCTTCCCTGTTCTGCCCAATATATCAAACTCATCAGGTTACTAACGGTACATAGGTTCACATATTACCTCGGCAGCCGGCCCACCTCCCAATATTCTTCGGTAATTCTGCCTCATCTAGCAGTCTGGTGGGTAAGAGGTGGATACATACATATACGGCCAGATGGAGGACGACATACCCCAGGCAGTTCGGAATTGCCATACCTGCAAGCAAGACCTGCCCGAAGTCGAATTTCGAAGCGTCAAGGACCCTACGAAGTTTACAAGAGACTGTGCTAGCTGTAGGGCACGCCGAAAGGAACGGGTTACCGAATCTCGAGCCGCCGTTGCCGCAATGCGGAATTTCGCTTTGAGGCTATCGCCACGCAGAGCCACGAAACGGACCGATTCTCTAGCTAACCTGACGCCTTCAAGGCGGACTGCGCCAACGCCTGCCTGTGTGCAAGCCTTACGACCCCCTGCCACATCAACTTTATGCCGTGCCCTGGCACCCGCACTCCAGGGACTGCCTAGACCTCTGCCGAGGCCATCTACCTCAAGCGCGGTAGAGGGACCTTCCCCCACCCCTCCTACCTTTGGCCTGCCAACAGTAGTTCTGGGCACGCCGATTCCACAAACGCCAATTCCTCAAGGCACTCTTCAATCGGCTTCTGTTGTGCAAGGCACGCCTATACCACAGGAATCTCTTCCCGCTTCGTACCCTCCTTCATTACTGCCACAGAGTCATCGCCGCGGCCGCTATACACGTCGAGTCAACATTAACCCCCGGCCACGGCCACAGCCTGAAGAGCGACAGTTCGATCAGATAGTTGATCCGCCTTTTACAGGGGACCTTGACTTACCTGCCCTTAGTGAGGGGGATCAAGCCCTTGTGCGCGAGTTCTATACTGCTCTGAATGACGACAAGATGCATAGTTGCATTCGCTGCCAGGAGCGTTGGTTCGATATGAAGCGAAATAGCTTGAAAATCTGCAGTCGCTGCATTGGTCGAGACAGGAAGAAAGCCCCTAACGAACCGTACTTCTTTAGCGCTGCGAATCACCTTGACTTTGGGAAGTCCCCGCCGATCTACCTGATCTAACGATGGTCGAGGAGATGCTCATTGCTAGAGTTCACGTACACGTGAAAGTCCTGCAGGTGCGTGGCGCTCAGTATAAATATCGCGGTCACGTTGTCCACTTCCTTCGCAATGTTGGCAGGCTTTTTGAAGAGCTCCCAGTCCTACCTGAAGAGCTAGATATCATCCTCCTGCGGCCTCCTAATATAGAGGGCGACCCTCGCTTCCGGCAACAGTTTGCTCGCGATTTCCGGGTACGTCGCTCATGCCTGTCGGCCTGGCTGCATTACCTACAGCGTCACCACCCGGGCTATCGCGATATTGTTGTGAGCCAGAATCGCCTGCAACGGATTCCTCTTGATGGCAGCATAGTTGCTTCCATTGCCAGCCAAGTGGCTGACATACCTGACGGCGAAGTCCCCCAGGGCCCCGTTGAGGAGGTTGTGGAAGAGGACCCAAGCGATGCCGATGCATCAGCGATCCCGAATTTGCAGGTCACTGATACCGAATTGAATGCTCTGCAGTCCCGATTTCTTGATGGGACCCCTAACCCTGAGCGCATGACTGATCTGGAGTATATGCCGCGTAGCGCGCAGGCTCACCACCAGATGCCACTGCCTTCCATTCGCAGGACCCCTATCGACGAATTCAACCGTTCTCAGCCGCTTTTATCGCTTGCGTTCCCTACCCTCTACCCCGACGGCAAGGCCGACTTCGTGGAGCCTCGCCTACGGAGCATCACGTACCAGGACTACCTTGCCCACGCGATGAGATGGCATGACGGACGTTTTGCCCGCCATAAGACGTGGCCTTTCGTCGCCCTCAACACGATGTTACGTGCGCAGGTCCGAAAGAGAAGTGACTACTTCGTCAAGCAACGCGACAGCCGCCGTCAACCCCTTACACGCGCCGACCTAGAGGAAGCGATGGCTGGGCCTGACGAGCCGGAGGCTCAGGCGCTGATCCAGTCAATCACGCGCCAAGCCGCGGTAATCAGGGCACCCGGCCATATTGGTATAAGCAAAGGAAGGAATTGGAAGCCTATAATTTAGGCAAGCCTGGCCTTTTCGCTACTGCAAGTGCAGCCGATTACCACTGGGAATCCCTATACCGTCATATGCCTCGATTTGACGAGTGGCAAGCAGCTCCTGAGGCGGCGCGGATGGCTCTATCCCGGCAACTGCTACGAGACAACGCCCATATTGCTGCTTACCACTTCTATAAACGTTATACGCTGTTTAGGACTATTGTCCTGAAGCAGAAGTTCAACCTAACGGACTCTTGGGGCCGCTACGAGTGGCAGGGCAGGGGTTCCAGTCATCACCACGGCCTATATTGGCTAAGTGGCCACCCAGACTTAGATCCTGATAACGACCGGTCCCGGGAGCAATTCGCCCGCATCTGGGGATATCACGTATCTGCCATTAACCCAGAGCCACAGCGAATACAGGCGCCTGGGGAAGGGAATCCTGATCGGTACTCTATTGGAACATCCCCTTACCGTTCAGTTTCTATCGATGGTAATCAACCGCGTGCAACGCCACCGCTGCAACAACTACTGCATGCAGGTCAATAAGCATACCAAGCAGGTGGAGTGCCGCTTTGGATTTCCTCACGGCCAGCGCCTACTAGCCTCCCTTGACAAGGTTCCTCACTCTAAACACTGGAGCTTTAGGGGCGAGCGGAACGATGGCCAGATTAACCATTACAACCGCTTGCTTACCGTTGCGTGGCTAGCCAATACAGACGTTTCACCCTGCACGAGTCTACAGCAGGTAATCGATTACGCGGCCAAATACTGCTCAAAGTCGGAAAAGAAGAGCGAGTCTTTTGCCCAGATCGGGAAGGCCCTGATGCCCCGGGTCAAGGACCACAACCCCCTTATTTCTTTCACGTCAAAGCTCCTCAATCAGCTAGTTGCTGAGCGGGATTACTCGAAGCAGGAGGTCAGCCACTTGCTCCTCGGCCTGCCGTTACAGGAAGGCTCACGAACCTGCCTGTACGTTGACTGCCGTAATCCTGACAGGCATTCCCGCTTCCTCCGTATTGACGGCGATGAGGTTGAAGAGGCCCCCAACGTTTACGAAAAGTACACTCAACGCCCGGAAGCCCTAGCGGACCTATGCTATGTCTCCTTCCTCAAGTGCTGGAATTTCCGTCCTAGGGACCCTTCCAAGTGGAAGCAATGGCAGCCAGGCAACGTTAACGGCAGGCCTCGTGTGTTGGTTTACTTTCCTCGCTATCAGGCTGATCCAGAGGGTCAACAGTGGCCAGATTACTGCCGTGTAAAGCTAACATTAAACCACCCACATCGGCGGGTTGATGATCTCCTCACATTTGACGGCCAGCTTTTTGGTTCTCACGCTGAGGCCTTCTCCTATTGTTGGCAGCACCACAGTCATGGTGATGACCATTACGGTCGGCCAAAAGAGGCTCGATTACAGCCCCAAGATGATCAATATGAGGCTCTGCCTGTGGAGGAAGAATTTGACGACGAAGACTGGATTCGCCTCGCCGCCCTTTTACCTGGGAACCCCCTTACCCAGGAAGATCTTGACCTTCTTGGCCGCCGCGATATCGACGTCAATTACGACTGGACACGGCATGTGGGTACATATCCGGAACTTCGAGATAGCTACTGGAAAGTCCTTATCGCTAGCCACCCCATGGCCAACGATGTGGAGGTCCTTGGCCCTCACTGGCGTAATACGCTGAATCCGCAACAACGACTCGTGTACGACACGTTCATGGGTCACTTCCAGGCGCAAAATCCTACTCAAATCCTTCTCCACGTTGATGGTGGTGGTGGCACCGGCAAGTCGTTCCTTATCAAGGTGCTTTCCTCCCATCTTCAGGCGGCCGCCCTACCGAATCCTAGCCCTATTTGCCGCGTAGCGCCAACAGGCGTTGCGAGTAACCAGATACAGGGCAGCACCATTCATTCATTGCTACGCCTCCCAGTAGGTGGTGCTTTTACCGACCTTCCCCAGCCGACGCAGCCGCCCTTCAGTCCCGCCTACGGCACGTCAAATACCTCGTGATCGATGAAAAGAGCATGCTGGGGATTGAGCAGCTCGCGCGGATCGATTCCCGTCTGCGACAGGCCTTTTCACAGCGTAGCCTCGAGTTCTTTGGTGGTATGAGCGTCTTGCTTGTGGGCGATTTCTTCCAGTTACCACCAGTCCGGCAAAAGCCCCTGTATTCGACTAGCACCAGCCTGTCTGCGTTGGAAAGGAGAGGGCATGTGGCCTACCGGTTATTTGACCGCACCGTCTTCCTGACCACGGTACAGCGCCAGGCTGGTGATGATCAGGCCCGGTTCCGTCAGGCGTTGCAGGAACTGCGTGAAGTCAAGTTATCCATACCGTCCTGGAACCTCCTTAGCAGTCGGGTACAGGCCAGGCTAACGCAGAGCGAGGTTGACAGCTTCAAGGCCGCTTTGCGGGTGTATTCTACAAGGGCGCGGGTCAACGAATACAATTACGAGCATATGGTTCATCTAAACGCCCCGGCAATACAGGTGGAGGCAAAGAATCAGGGCAAGGGCGCGGGGCAGGCACCAAGCGACAATGCTGGCAATCTATCTAACAAGTTCCCCATTGCTAAGGGCGCCAGGGTAATGCTCACTACTAACCTATGGCAGCCAGCTGGCCTAGTTAACGGTGCCCAGGGTACTGTATACGATATCGCCTGGAACGCAGGCGCCGAGCCATGGAAGATCCCCGGCCGTTATTATGGTGGACTTTGATAGCTACGACGGACCGCCATATCTAACAACTAACGAGGGCAGGAAAATCTCACCCATCCTCCCAGTCAGGCGAGACTTCCTTGTGGGCAACGAGACCTGCGCTCGCACGCAGTTTCTCATGGTGGCGTTTGCCATCACTGTTCACAAATGCCAGAGCCTAACGAAGGATCAAATAGTTACTGATCTCGCTACACGCGACTTCCAGGCCGGGATTAGCTATGTTGCTGTCTCACGGGTTACGTCGCTGCAAGGCTTACTCCTCGAGGCGCCTTTCGATCGTCAGAGCCTCTATAACCACACGCCGACGGAAGGTTTACACGTCTGCGTTTCCTACGTACCGCGTTCACGACTAACTATAAGGCAGGGATGAAGATGCGCCTCGCTGACCAACAACGGCGTCAGGGTCAACAGCTGACCGACGCACCATATACACCACGCTACCTTGACTAAACGACATCTTCCTCTCGGCTGCAGGGAAAAGGGAGGTTCGATATATAGTATATAGTTTACAGTTAGGTTGGGCCTGTTAGGAAGCAGCAGAGACTCCTAACTATCAATTCCCTTAGTGCAGGTTTGGAGCGATTTAAACAGCTGGTTGCCCGCGGCAGGCGAATGGGGGGTTCTAGGGGGTCTCCCCCTAGGAAAGTGAATTGCAGGTATACGATATTTACCCTTCGGGCTGGATATTCAGCCGTTGAGCCCCTTGCCTTGGCAACTTAACGGGTGTTCGAAGTATTTTATATAATACAATACTTATACCATTAAACAGCCCCCAGCTAGCTGATTCGGAAAACGCGTTCAGATCCCTCAACATCTCAATACTGCGCGAACAATTTGAAGTGACACAATTTGCGTCATCTCGCGATTTGGAGCCTGTTAGGAACTTATCTACCCGTTGATCTTGGTGTGGGGCCACAGCAGCCCAACTAAGTGTCTTCGCCACTTAGTTGGCCCAAAAAATCCGGCACAGCCCAAAAAATCCGGCACAGCAGGGTCCTCAATTTGGGGTGCAAAATCAAGGGAAATTCTACGCTTCGCTTCATGGTGCCGTCAATGCGACTTCAAATAGCTAAAATATACATGTGATCAATAGCTGCGGATCACCTAAAGACGCAAGTAACAACGAAAAGTGAAAAAATCACGTCTTTGGGCCTATTTAGGAGCTGCCGCCTTCCAGTCGAAGAGATAGGAAGACCGCGTTTGTGAGTCCAAATAGACGTATTATGTAGTAATTTCGCCTGTTGTGCGTCTCTGAGAGCTATTTTATCCATACCTGTGTTCCTGGAGCGTCTGCTGTATCTTGTTGGACGATCGGGTGCGCGGTCGAGGGCATGGTGTATCGACTACCGCTTCAACCGCTGCTAACGGCGGCGATGAGGGTATATTCTCTTGCGTGTCGAGTAAATTGTCCTCGTCTTCATCGTCGGCGCCATCCTCACTATGTTTGTCAAGATCGAGGCCTGTGAAATAGACGGTATCGTCACTGCCGGGCAACGACGACATATCTGTAAGTGGGCGAGGTCGGGTCGCTGCGCGCGCCCTGACATCTCTGGCGGAGTTATTTCTCTTCGTGGTATCATAGAAAAGGATTCCTTGGATGGCTCTTTGAGCTCCCGCATGAGGGTATCGCAACTTTGCTCCAGAGTGTAGAACTCAACGTCTCGTCCCGTAAACTCTAGCCAGGGCTTAAAGTTCAATGTCTTGACTCTGCCATTGACTAACTGCTTCTTCCCGACTTTATAGTCTTCTCGGATCTTCTGCATCTCTCCACGAACTCGTTTAAGATGCATCCTTATCTCCTGGCGCGTTTGAAGCCGGGTTTGCTTTGCCTGGAGCTCCTCATACTCCCGGGTGATGTCGGCCATGCTGGAGCTCGTGATAAACTCTCCGCGCGGCCTGACAATCTTGCCTCTCTTCATTCGATTCGCATACGCCTGGGTTCGGCTATTCTTATCGCTGACTATGCCCTGGGAATGTGACGCCATCGCGATAGACTCGGTGTTCACTTTCGCAAGAACCCGCAAGTTTTCTCGTGATGGCGAGCTCATGAGGGGCCCATACCGTTGCCGGATATCATTGAGGGCATCCGCGGCGACTTGGAAACGCGTCTCCGAGGGTAGGAGCGAGGCGTATGCAGGATTGATCGGCTGCTGTTGTCGTAGCTGCTCGTGGAGGATCTTGGTGATCACCGGCGCTGGGTCGACAGGAAAGAGGCCTGTTTTTTCAAATGCCGCCATAATGTTATGCCGCGTGAAGCCAGCCTCATATACGTCCTGAAAAGCTGTGAGGAAGTTGACCCGCGAAAATGATATGTTGCCTTCTGCGAGCGACTTCGAAGCGCTTTCTGATGTGCTGACTTTAGTGGCTGGAATACCCCAACATCAAGCGGCTGCATGAGGTGGGTGGAATGTGGAGGAAAATAGCAATGATGATATCAAACTTGATACAATACTCAGCAAAGTCAAGGGTGGTATGCCCTGTAAAGCCATCCACAACAAGCAATCGGTAGATCTTCTCGTCGTCAGGCCGTTGGTTTGGCGGCGCCTCCACGCGACTCATCCCCATGTTGGGGCGCCGAAGATGCTCGTCACAGCCGAACCACTCTTCCAGCGAATTTCCTGACTGTTTTGCTTGCGCTGACGATGCCCAAGACCAGCAGTTGAAATGCCTTGCCCACTCAAGGTGTATCTCTGCGTTGGAAAAGCCAGTTGGCGACTGGGCAAACCGTACGCCTGTCATGATGTCGATGCCGGCCCAGTTGGTGGTAGGGTAATGTTGGAAAACAAGCCAGGGTGGAAGAGAGTCCCCCACTGCGTTAACTGAGGCAATTACCGTGCAGGATTCTCGGTTTGCTGGGTCTAAAACTCGGGGCCGGGTGCTCTTGACTCTAGTGGTGCGCGTGATGAGAACTTGGATGCGTTCTCGCAGGCACCCAATGCGTATTCCGGCCTCGTCTTCATTCCAGATCTCTGAACTGCCAATACGGTAGCTGGTGATGATTTCTCGAAGCTTTGAGTAGAAAAATTCGACTTCTTCTACCCCGTGGGCTTCAAAGGACTTCCGGGCTCGTTCAACTGCTTTGAGATACGTCTTCGCGATCGCAGGATGACTTCCACGCCAATTGTCAAGCCAACTTGACGAGACCGGGCGGGCATTGGGATCTCGACGCATTCTTATTGCATTTGCAACAGCTTCAAGTTGCTCTCTCGTGGCGGGCATGCCGGTGCGTTCCATCCACTGTACATACGCAACCAGGGCGTCGTCTTCGTCCTCCGTCAGCGCCAATGGACGCCCTGGAGCACGGGAAAGGGGTTTCTTATGAAATTAATGGCTCTCTGTACGGATGAGCTCTTCACATTGTAACGGATGGCCGCATCTCGCACGGAAAGAGGCGTTCTTTTTGGTGTTGTTGAGCGACGAACATCGGCTCTGGGGTCGCGACGAGACGCCAGAACGGCTTTGCTGCCTCCAGGGTAGCCATGTTATCTGTCATAATGTATTCCGGCAAAAAGATACGTAAATAAAGTCAAGTTGCGCGAGAAAACGCGGTTGAGATGCATAGGGTTGACGTTTTGGAGGTGGGCTGCTGTGCCGGATTTTTTGGGCTGTGCCGGATTTTTTGGGCCAACTAAGTGGCGAAGACACTTAGTTGGGCTGCTGTGGCCCCACACCAAGATCAACGGGTACTCCTCGAGCCCAATATGACTGCTACTTGATTGTCCACACAGATTAGCACGATCAGAAAGTACCGGAAACGTCCGCATGATAAGGATATATTGTGCCAACTAACCGCGTTTAGACGCGTTATTCGCGCCCAATTGACCACCTGTTAATTCTACTGCTGTCCGAAAGACACGGTCGTCAGCCCATCCCACCCTTTTGCCTGCATGGCGCAACGGTCTTCGCGACAACTGCCACGACATTATTTTACCACGACCTCGCCTAATTCCCGCTTCGATATTTCCGACAGCGGCTTCGGGTCGGCCCCCGAATCAACGCCCTGCCCGACGACCGATCCTACCCGTTCAACCTCGACTCCTTCATACTCTATTGCGGTGTATTTGGTGTCGTTCCGACCACCTGTGTCGCGTCCATTCTCGCCCCCTTCAGCCAAGACTAGGTAAAACTTCATTACTCTCCAACCTACCCCTCCTTATTTAACGACTTTACGAGTAGATAGCTAATTATAACATGATACATAGTATGGCCCCTGCTGAATCAAAAACATCTGCCGCAGCGAATTTCTTTGCTCCTAGGACCCGGCGTAAATTGCCAACGCAGAATTATGCCCGCATCGAACCTCCTCAATTCAACCCCCAGAATCCCGCGCGCGCCCTGATCCTAGCACAACCCCGGCTCCTTCGTCTCGTCCTCCGACTGGCGAAGATACAATTATCTGCGCGCCCCCGGGCCATCCTGACTGTGAGTCAGATGATGACATGCCCGACGCCGATACACCAGAGCCGCCATTGGACAGTACCGGTAGTCGCGAAGACCATTGCGCCACGCAGGCAAAAGTGGAACGCGCGCTCCGACAGGTGCGCTGCAATTGACACATATAACTAACAACCGCGTTTTCCGACATTTTACGGAGTGCTTATACTCAGGAAGATAAGATCGATCAGGCGTTGATCAAGGCGGCCATGGAGTATGACATCCTGCCCTTCGCCAGTAGTATTATTTGGAGACCAGACCACATTCCGGGCAAGCTGGTAGATGGTACGAATATACCCTCATTGTTTGTGTATAATGCCAATCTGCTTGCAGGCGAGAACCCTCCTCAACCCCCTGCTCCGGCGGAAGTTCCCACCGAGGCTCCCACCGAACCTCCTACCCCCAAACCTCTTGCCTCCCAAGCCGATAAGTCTGCGATATCAACCCCCTGTCAAGATACAATGGAGGCTTCGGAGGATTGAGGCTCTACGAGTGTGTAGCCGTGTACAATGGCGGATTCGAACGCGTTGTACCGACGTATTTTGAGGATTCGGCAGAGCCATTTGATGAAAGTGCTTATTTTCAGTCGATTTGCCTAGGACAGGCGGATCAGTATTCATGTAAGTTAATTTTTGTGGTATTCCGGATTATCGAGAGACTTCTCATACTACTTCTTGGCGTTTTTGAGGTATCTTTGCAATCGCTTAGGTACACACCAAATTCACTTCATTTAGGGGATCCCTTCAAACCATTCATGAATGGCCTGAATTGGCCCAAACCCAACTTGAATCGCGAAAATTGGAGCTTGAAGATTTTGAATCGAGATCCCAAAAATTCAATTCATTTGATTCATCCTTCATTCAAAATCTTCAAAAAATTCACCTTCGTATATCACCCCTACCCACGCCCTCATGGCTGTCGACTCCGGAGTATGCAGCAATCCGGTCAGATACTGGCAATCCATCGACCTGCATCTTCTTCAGCCTTAATATTTCCATATACAACCAACAGATAAT